AAGTCCCATACGAAGACAGCAGCTTCAAACAAGTCTTGAGTTTCAGGCTGTCCAAGATACTCTGACAGCCAGGCCCCAAAATCACACAAGCCAATTTCATGTAATAAATCAAATGCATGCACACAAACTCACTCAATCCCCTGCCCCTCAAGACATGGTTCAGACCCTAGGCCCAATCACTCCATTTACTGGAGGTGACGTGGGGCAACTTAACTGCTCTAAGCCTTGAGGTCCTCGTTTGAAAAATAAGAATACCAGATGCTTTGCAGTGACTAACACAGAGCTAGAAAGGAAATTAAAACATCTGAACAATTAATTCTTATAGACTGCCCAAACTCACTTAGCTGATGTGGTTTTATTCATAACCCAAGTCTCCAGCTTGACTCCCATCACATCTTTGATTTCTTGACAACTGTAACCCCAAAGAAATGCAGTTTGCACGCCACATGCTAGTAAGAAGGTGAACCAATCCACAAGATGAAAAGGCTCTGGAAAGCCCAGTCCCCAGCAACCCGGCAGGACAACCTCGCAATACTGCCCCTCTGGCCAAAGGAGAGCTGGAATTTTGCTCCCTGTAGTCAAGCATCACACCCCATTCCCCACTAACCTTATAGAATTTCCTGAGGTTCTCTTTCTGAGTCTGGTTAATGACGGTGAGAACACGAGCAATGGATTTGCGTACAACTCGGCTACAAAAGAGAGAGACATCAGTGAAAATGGGGAAGACACAGAGCTCTCCAACCATCTCCTTCAGAGCCTGGCCCAGATGTCACAGGGCAGGGGAGCTCTCCAACTCATCCATATTCACCCAAGAGATGCCTAACCCAACTCAGGGGGAAGGTGTTCTGGAAGCCAGAGACACGGGCATCACAGGAGTGGGGACAAGGAGGGGCTGGGAAGGGTTCACTGAGGAGTCTTAATGAGATGGGAGAGCACATGAGGAAAGATCTTCCTGAGGGCTACAAAGAAGACCTGACCAGTGCCCATCTGAATGAGCTGAGTGGAGATCTTGCTACAAACTGGACAACCAAGTTAAGCTTAGGGAGTCACAGGAGGGACCACCTAGGAAGGAAATGAGACACCTTGAGAAACAGAATGCTGCTGGGGTTGGGGGCAGGCTTGAGGCTGAAGATAGGAACAGGCTGGGATAGGTGAATTTGTAGTTATGTTGAATGAGGCATGCTGGGGGATGATAGTCACTCAGTAAACAGCCACCAGTTAACTTGGTCTTGAGGATTCAGCATGCAACTTGCTTATGTGTTCCCCAACTCAACCATTCTCCTCCCATCACCAAAGGAAAATTACTGGGGGCCCATTTTATGGAAAAGGAAAAAAACCTGGGTGGTAAGCGAACCTGCCCATTAGATAGGATGTGGCAGAAGTGGAATTTATGCCCAGATTGACTAACTCCAAAACTACGCTCCTTTCACAAGTCTGGATTCTTGCTCCACTTGTATCAGTTAACTTACACTACAACTCAAGTAAGGGGGTGCAAGGGATCCCTCAACCAAGTGAGGGAGGATGAGAAAAAAAAATCCAGTGATGGTGGGAGGTAGAAGAAGGGAATCCAGTTAGATTTGCGAAGGCAGCACTAAACTGGGTCTTGAGGGACACCCATTTCTTTCTCCAGCCAGAGAAGCTGAAGACGGGCACTCCAGGCAAAAGGAGCGCACAAAGACAACGGGCCTCCAAGCGCCTGAGCGTCAGCAAGGGGAGTCTGGATAGACTGGTTTCGAAGGGCATTAAATTCCGACTCACTGATCCAGGGAATGGGCACTTAACGGGACCCTTCCTTAAGTCAACTTCGAAAATCCACAAACGCTCCCAATGCGTGTGTCCCCCACTCCCACAAGGCCGCGGTCTGGTCGCCCGTCACTCACATCTTGGAAAGCTTGGAAGCCGCGCCGCCTGTCACTTTAGCGACGCGCAGCTGGGAAAGCTCCACCTTCAGGTCCTCCAGTTGTTTCAGCAGCTCCTCCTTCTTCTTGCCGCGAAGGTCTCGAGCCTTAATCTTGGCCTGCGCGCAATAAAGGGTCTGGGTCCAACAGCCGGCGGGGCCACCTCCCCCTCCGCCGCTCACTAAGGCCTCCACCGGTGTCACGAGCGCGCTGGAGGCCCAGCACTAAAGTGCCTTGACAGAACAATCCAGGCCCCGGCAGGCGCTCCCTCGCCCAGGCCTGCTGCGAGGCGAGGACGCCAGCCCCATTCAGCAGACAGGAAAACGAAGGCCCTGGCAGCGCGCGAACACCTCTCCTAGCCCAGCCCGGCGAGGGGATGATGGACCGGCTGGGACGGCCGCATGGCGTCCCATAGGCCAGGATGGCAGGTGGGACCTCAAGGTTCGCCCCGCGCCTCCCACCCCAGCCCCAGAGGCCCACAGCGCGCGGATGGGGCCCGATTCTCCGGCACTCACCATTGCTGTACAACCCACCGCCGCCGCCTTCTTGGAGGGAAAGAGGAAGAGGCGGGGCTGACCTCCGCAACTACTGCCGGGTGGCGGAGGGCGTGGCCAATAGTATCGAGGCAGGGGAGCGCAGGCTCCGCCCCTACCATCCCCCTCCCCGCTGCGAGGAGCGTGGTGGTACAGCCCGCCCAGTCCTGCGCTGAGGAGCCGGAGCCCCGCCCAGCAGTGTCCCACTCTTTCTCCTGAGCGCTCGAGATTACTTAGGTTTGGTCTAATGCCTTCAGCAGCGTATTGGGGGAACTGAGTCCCGGGAGGCAGTTTACCGGAGTTGGCATAGTAAGGACTAGGATTCGTTCATTCATTTATTCGTTTATTCATTCATTAATTTATTCGGTAAACATTTGCAGGTCGGCCAGTCTGTGCTACTCTGAGCTACGTACGGGTGTTCTGGGGTACAGGGGATGAAGGATGAAGGTTTTCAAAGATTAATTAACATGGCCCCTGCCTTGGAGGAATTTAAAGGCCAAGGGGGGCGGGAGGGGCGGAGTCAGACAGCTATAATCCAACTACATAAATATTCTAGAGGAGGCAGCATGTAGTAGGAGAAGAGTATTCATGGCCTTTTTTTAGTGAACCTGACCCAGTTTCAAATTCTTACTGTTTTGCTTGGTGCTAGTTGAGACTCTTGGCAAATCTCCTCCCCTGAGTCTGTTTTCTCTCCTGTGAAATGGGGGTATTTATGAGGATCAGGAAGATAACATGTAAAACTGTTAGCACAAGACCTGATGCATAACAATCGCTCAAAATATCATTGATATTAATGATCCTAGATGGATGAACACTTCAGTTGACCCTGAAAGTTAAAGGGAGGATTCACATGACAGGGAAAGTGCTCAGGCTGACTGGACAGTTTAATTGTTGCCCCAACCAGCAAGCATGAATCAGTGCTCTAGTGTCACCCCATTGCCATTAATGAAGACACACCCACACCTCTTAGGGCTCTAGTTAAAGCCAGGTTGCCCCCTTGTTGTTGTCAGATCTCACCTCCAGGGAGCCTTCTCCCACTCTCTCATAAAGTTGTTAATGGACCTCAACCTTAGAATAAATTGGGACACAACCTCTGCTTGTGTCCAAAGCCTTCTGTGCAATCCTTTCTTTAGCCCCAAACATACTGAATTAAAGTGAAGTTCATGTGTCTATCTATCTCTACAGCCAGCCTGGAAGTTCCTGGGGGGTGGCAGAACCATGGCTGACACCTGGTTTGGTTTTACTTGTCTCCAGGCCCAGCACATCAATCCTTGTTGAATAAATTGAATTAAAGAGACTTATCCCAGATCACAGTGAAGCAGGCTTCCAGGAAATGGAGGGAGATGGGGAAGAGACGGCAGAGGGCAATCTTGGCAGAGATTAATCTTAAATGGAAGTTGAATGGTGCACAGGGACTTGTCTGTCATATTTTCCAAATGCTTATAGCTCTATTAAAGGTAATGATTATACACATCTTTTCTAAACTTGAAGTCATCTATGGCTCCCCTGTTTCTCTTACATGACACATCCAATATACCCCTAAATTCTGCAGCGTCTATCTTCAGAATACCTAACTTCTTCTCACCACTCATTGGCACCTGCCTGGCTTGAGCTACCATTGCCTGTCACTTGGACCCTTGGCATCACCTCTTAAGTCACCTCTCTACTTTGGTTCTTGCTCCCAGGTATTCTCAATGAGACTTATTCAGTACCTATCTCCCTCTGTAAGAGTCTATCTCTAACACCCAAAATTAGGTAGCATCCTAGTCTGGCAATATTTTTTAAAAAATCTGTAGATACAGGTCAATGAGAAGCATTTGAAGCAATGAAAACAAGTCACATTTCACTGACTACTGGTCTTTATTAAAGAGTGCTATTACATGAAAACAAAAATACAGTGCAGTCTAAGGCGAAGGCCTTAACAGAACCCCTCAAGCAACAGCCCAGACACCTAATTTGGCACCACAAAGTAATCCTTAACTCTGCTCTACCTCTCTCCACCCCCATTTTAGACTCTGGGGATTCGCTTCTTACCAGGGTATGATTCTCCAGCCAGGCACGACTTCTCAGCCCCCAGGACCTCGCTCTTCCTGCCTTGGATAGTGGGCATAGAGTCATCTCCTTATCCCCGCCCCCCACCCACCTGGCCAACGTGACTGTTACAGACTCGAGGCCGTGGAACACTCAAATCCAAATGTCTTCCTTGTCTTGTCAGCACCCTGGATGCACTTTAAACGTCTTTAAAGTCTTCCAGTCCATTAACAATAAGGTCACTACAACAGTAAGGCAGAGGCAACCATCTCCTCTGAGCTCAGTGTGGTGGCGTCCAAGACTTCTGAAATCCAAAACTCTGGATTCTTGGAGGCTCTCCCACCCCTCATCAATCTCTGGGGCGTAAGAACTACTGCTTATCCCTCAGGCTTCAGCTCGAAGGTTTCTTCTCCAAGAAACCTGCCCGACACTAGACAGACAGAGCCGGGCGCCTTCTACTGGGGGCCCCGTGCCCCCTCTCTCTGGGCAGTGATGACACCAGAGACCGCGACTGTGCCCGCCCTGGACCCTTTCAGGGCCAGGGGCTCCTCCGGTGCAGGAGGGAAGCCGAAGAAGAGCGCAGTTATGGCGTCCACTTTGCTGGGCCCGCGCGGGAACTGACCGTCTGCACCTCAGACGTAAAGACTTAGGCTCCATGAAGACGAGTCCAGCAGCGGCCACAGACACAACTTCAACGCCAAATCCCGGACGATTCCAGCTGCGCCCAGCCAGGCTTCGCCCCTCCCTCCCACCGGAACTTCCGGTTCCGGCCTGAACCGGAAGTGGGCGGGCGGCGGCTGCGCGCGGAGGAGGTGGAGGTGGTGCCGGGCGGCCGCTTCCCGCCCCCGAGCCCGAGCCGGTTCCGAGCGGAGTGGAGTGGAGGTCTGCCCCGGAGCGGAGTCGGCTGAGCCGGCGCCGAGCCCCCACCATGGCCCGGAACACGCTGTCCTCGCGCTTCCGTCGGGTGGACATCGACGAGTTTGACGAGAACAAATTCGTGGACGAGCAGGAGGAGGCGGCGGCGGCGGCGGCTGAGCCAGGCCCGGACCCTAGCGAGGTGGACGGGCTCCTACGGCAATATCCTTCCCCGGCGCGGTGGCCTGGGCTCCCCTTTGGCCCGGCCTTCCCATTTTCCTCATCCCCGGCTCCGGCCCCTCAGGCCATCCTCCCCACTCTATCTCTCGGCCCTCTCAGGTCAGTCTCCCAACTCCCGATCCGACTCCCGTCGGGCCAGGCATCCCCCCTTCCCTCTGACACGGGCTCCTTACTCTCGCTTGGCCCCAGCCCCCGGAGCCTGCCTCAGTAGCGGGGCCCCCACGCAGCCCCTGGATCTTGGTGGGCCGGTTTGCTCGGCAGCTCCGAGAGCATGCCGGACGCACGTCCGGCCCCGCAGGCCCCTCTCCTCCGCGAGGCCTGTCCTCTTTCCTCTCCTTTGCCTCCTCATTCCCTCAGGCTGTCCCTTCCTTGGGCGCCCCATCACTCCCATGCAGGAAACTGGGCCCTTCTCTGGCTAGATCTGCGGGAGGGGCCCAGGTGAGCCACCGCTGAGTAATTGAGCGGCCAGGGCGGCTCCCAGGCACACTCCTCTCGGTGTGGATTGCAGCATCACAGGAAGATAGGTGGGTGGATGGCTGCGGGGAAGAAAGGACCCACGGGGACCGAAGGCTGCAGCCTTAGTCCAGCTCAGGTCTGAGATTGCACCTCCCACCCCAGAATCATTCTGACCCTCCAGCTTAATGCCACTCTTCCTCACCTGTTCTTAGGTTCCTATGACCATTGGGCTTTGGACATTCATGGTTTCTCCCATGTTCAACAAGTGAGCTTTGGCTCCCTCCCCCCCGCCCCCAATAGCCTTCTTGTGCAGAAAACAGTGGAAAAAAACTACCAGTTTAGAGCTAAGAAAAACCAGACAGCATAAAGTGAGATGTAAAAGTAGAGCCCCACGACTGGAAATGACTGTTCTGTGGTCACAGAAAACAAGCATTTAGAAAACAAGATTAAAAATAGAGCTGGTTGTCACAGCCTCCTTGGTCCCTTAACAGTCTGAGCACAGGAAACTGACTTATTCTTACAGGAAGGATTTTTCTTTATTCAAATGGTATTACAGGAAGTGCCTGCCCCTTCCCCCTCACTTGCCAGGGCAGGGTTGGAAGCTCATACTGTACTGTATATAAATCAGGTTCTGGGTGTTTAATCAGTTGACTCAGCTTGGGAATTCAGGCCCATAGACTGCCTTTCAGAGGAGCCCTGCAGTGTTCCTCCAATGTGCCTTTGAGACAAAAACCTTCAGATTTTCTTTATTTGAAAAGAAATGTGTTTTGAAAGGTGGATATTCAAACTTGTATTTCCTGCCCCATCAGGATCACCTTGCTTACCCCATTGGTGAAATGGAATCATAGATGAGTCCCCACGAAGGAACTTTTAACTCTGCAGCCAGGACAGAACTTAGCTCATGGGCAGGCATTGCCAAAAGGGCCTCAGAGTCAGGCCTGTGGTCCAGACCATCCACAGAGCAGGAGGACAGGGTCTGGTTATCTACTGTCTTAATCTTGGTGCTGCAGGGACTTGTTGAAAGTCATCTCTTGGGAGCTCCTGACATGCTAGGTTTCTTGAGGCTGCTTGGAGGCCTAGGGTTAGCATATCCGGGGATGGTTCTTTCTCCACTAATGACAGTATCAGAAACCTTATTACCATAGAGAGTGTACCTCTTGGGATGGGGGAAAGGGAGGTTAACAGATGAGAACTGAAATCCTGGCAAATGTGGGGCCAAGGGAGGGAGGAGGAAGGAACTAATATTTGCTGAGTCCCTGCTGTGTGCCAGCTGTTGAAGTTACATTGGATTATTGAATTCAAACTACAGGACAGGCTTGTAGGAGTCTTAGGACATAGGTTAGAGGAGTAGGGATAGGGGTTGATTGATGGAAGTCAGGGAATGTAGGTAGTAGGCCTGTCCTAGTGCTGGTAGGAGAACACACAGATGAAATAGAACATGGGCTGTGCATCCACGCACCCACCTCTGTTATGCTGTAGCTGTATGACTGAGTAGGTCACATACTTTCTCTGAATTGCAGCATCCTCCTCTGTTAAAAGGAGAAGAACCAGGCTGGGCTTACAGGTTCCGTGGGAGCATCACTGGACAACATCCCAGAAGGCTTCAGCACAGTGCTGGACACACGCAAGTGTCCGGATATGCAGCTTGGGTCTGTGGGTGGAGTGGCAGCAGGGGATGGTAGAAAGAGCTTGGCTTTGGAGTCTGGCATACTTGTGTTGGAAGGCCAGCTGGAGAGGTTAGCTTTGTGACCTTGGACAGGTCATTTTCCTTCTCTGAGCCTCAAAGTCATTACCTGTAAAATCAGAATAATGATTCTTGTCACAAGGAGCAGTTAGCAGTAATGAGATGACTTGTAAAAACGCCTAGCTAGACACAGGATCTGAGACCCTGTAGGAATTTTAAAGTATTTATTTCTTTTCTTCCTTGCTGAAGCACCTTCTCGTCCTCTGGATGGAGATCTGTCCAGAGCGGTGTTTTTCAGTGATTTTGCACTCTCTCCTCCCCCGAGGAAATTTGTTTTTGTTTGGAAATACTTGACTGTCGTCACTTGGGACGTTTTACTGGGATCTAGTGCATAGAGGCCAGGTAAAAATTGTACAGTGCACAGGATAGACCCCACATCAGTCATCTGGTCTAAAATGTCGTTAGTGCTGCAGTTGAAAAACCCTAATCTAGAGGAGACTAGGATTCCCCAGCTTCCACAGACTGTGGGAAGGGATTAGAGCCAGCTGAGTACAGAGGCCAGCTTGATAGATGGTATGCCCCTCCCTGCTCCCCAGATCTCCAGGCTGCTGAAGGTCCCCATCCCATCAGCACCTATAGTGAATGCTTGGTTGATGGATACTACAGAGAGATTGAAGTAGTAACTCTTTTTCCTCCTGTGTGCTAGTTATTCTGCCTTCACCCCTTCATCTTCTGAAGCATTTTGTTTCCCAGCCATGCTGGTTAGTGAAGAGTGCCAGCTTTAGCCTCTGGAACTCTGCTTATTGCTCTGGGAGATTAGAAGAGAGTTCTGAGGTAGAAGTTATCAGTGGCTAATATCATATAGCCCTCCCCTGGCTGGGAACAAGGAATTCCAAAGCTGACAGATTCAGGAGGTGGGGGAGTGGGCTGCCTCTCAAATTGGAAGGTGGATCTGAGCCCAGCAGGGGCCAAGGAGCTCTGCAGGGGTGGCTTCCTGGGTGTTGTGGGTCCAGCTCAGTCAAGATGGAGGGCACACTAGAGAAGGCTGGGGCCTCGGCTTTACCCAGGAGGCTCTGTCTGTTCACACGTGGGTATTGCTGTGTGAACAGGAGTAGAGACCCGATTGGGCAGAAGCCATTTCTTGTTCTATTTTTGAAGCTTTTTGGCTGAAGCCAGTGTTTCAGATGAGGAAATGAAAGTGAGCTGATGTAATTCAGTTTAAAATAGGTGTCACCTTTGGGGACCTAACCCAGATTGTAATTTTCTTTTGAGTGCTGGGTATTCAGAGCTCAGGAAAGAATATGTCAGGACTCCAGCTAAGGTTTGGTTAATGGG